AATATGGGTCCCGTGCCACCAGGACATTGAAAGCAACTGCATTGCAGATGAATTTGCCAGATCCGACACTACACTCCCCCTTAACCATGATAAGAAGGAAATACGTATGCCAATGGCCACATTCAAGCTCATTATACAAATATATTATACCCTGCAAACAAACAACAGATGGCAAATGGTCCCAAGATGTCCCAAGCGCACCGCTGAGCTGTGCAAAACTCACCATGAATAGATTCGCTCCCTCACAGGGCATTGGCTGATAGGCAACCACGCAAATAGGCTTGGTGCCCCCATAACGACTTCTGTGGCAGCTGTAGAGACGAGGACGAGGAGGAGACAGTGCAACATCTCCTCTGCTCTTATCCGGCTCTCAGTAGAAGGAGGCTAATGTTTTCAATGGCGTCGTAACTGGCTCGTCGTCACTGGCTCGCCTTCAAAGTCGTCGTCCTCAAAGACGTCGTATTCAATGACACCGTCTTCAAACTGTTCAAAAAAATTCGTTATCAATGACGTTGCTATGTGTAATATTCATCAGTTGAATTTCTTGAGATGGTTGAAAAGCGAAACAGACAACGCACTTTCTAGACCAGATGCATTTTGCATGCACAAGTATATTTTACCTTTTTTTATTGGACAACTTCCGGGGAAAGTTTTGGTGTGGCCACAGCTGTGACCGTACTGAACAGATTATTCTTTTGCTTTCTCCCTTTTCGGCAATGTAAATGAAAAATTTGACAAAAAACCGCTTAGGTACAGATTTCCTACTGAGCGCCGGGTACAAAAGTTGTGACGCGTAAGAAGCGTCTCACACGTTCCTTCTCGTTTAATTTTATATTTTGGGTATCGCCATTGGAAAATCAACATAAATTGATTTCAAGAATTAGTATGAATCTAGAGTTTCGGATGTGATTTGCGATGTTGAATAAATCTAGCTATAAACTTTAAAATGAACACCTGCTGAGTGCGCCTAACTTGAGGGAGTCATGCGTCATGCAGGGAACGTAGGTTTAGGTATTGCGATATTGACTTTTAAGGGGATTTGTAACTTTGTTGGATTATAGCTTTCATGGAAGGGAGGGTATTCGTGGCCGCGTTTCCATCTTGCCCCACAAGATATAAGTCTGGATGATAGGAGTTTAGTCTATGTTCTGTCTGTTCCTTTTCATTTGTGTTGAATATACCCTCTTTTTTATCGCACGCGAATATTAAAAACTGTATGTACCTAGACGAGCAGATGGAGCAACGGATCCTTCTCTTAACCCACTATATCTCCCAACTGAAAACAAGACCGGAACAAGCGCGTGCCCCGCAGAAGCTCATCACCTTCCACCAGCTCAACAGCGACTAAACGCTGCAAACTACAAGATTTTGAAAGAGTCCAGGGGGCATTTTCGAAAACTTCGTCATCACAGTCTGTTGGCGTGTTGAATGGCAACAAAGAGGCCATCCCCATATACACGGCATGTTTTGGCTGAAAGATGCCCCAGCAGTGGACTTAAGTAGCACTGAGTCAATTTCAACAGTTGTAGCCTTCACTAATAAATACATTACAGTAGATTAAACAGACTCAACATTTATCCCGTGAGCCCTAATTACGAGGACTACAAATATGCAATATGTTCTGGTTTAAAGAAACCAACCATTTTTCTAAAGAGGTCATTGCTGATATTTCCATTAATGCTTATAATAAACACATTCTTTCAATGCAAAGGGCCAATAGGGATAATTAATTAAATAAATAAATCCCAAAGGGGTATTTCAGAAGCGAAGTTCAAGGGGGAAATTATACGATCAGAGAAAAACTTCACCACATTGGTCATAGATTTATTTCAGGCACTGAGATATCTGCTCAGGAACAGAAGCAATGCCCAGGCATTGCATTGTACGGAACTAGCAACAAATGTGTTCAGATAAATACTTTACCTCCATAGCAACGAGTTTGAATACTCAATTCCACAAGCATCCTATAAAATATGAATCAGGACTCCACTGACGAATTCTTCAATGGATTGCTGGAGCAATATGATGATGAGGGGGGCGAAGAAAATGAGGCCTAGTAGAAGTTTTTATCCCTCTCCGGGATGGTAGTGGTTTTATGTGGGGACGTAGCATGAGGTTTTATGAGGGGACCTTCCATTATTTAATATTAAAAAAAACACAGATAGGTCTAATTATTTTATAGCATTAGATATGCTGTTTTTTCCGTGGAGAGATAAAGAGTCAGAGCTGGGACATCAGGGACCATCAGGAATTAGTAAGGTTGAACTTCCAGAAGTTCAATGCATTAGCAGACTTAGAAGACGTGCTTAGGAGCGCCAGTTAAGAGGTTAGTTAAGAGGCAGTTGATCAGGAAATCGACGAGGAGTTTGGGGTGCTAGCGATTCCTTAAATAAGTTCTCAAATAAATGTTCTGAACTTGAATGACCAGAAAACGGATCCAGACAGAATTATTCGACTAATTAAGCTTCCTTGGATTGTTTCCCTATCATGTTAAGCCAATTTAATTCGATCGCTTAATTTGAAGAAAAAACCTTACCTCACCCATATTTTTCATATTGTGAGGAATAAGTCAATTTTTAATGAATTTGTAGGCGTCGGCAAGAGTAGAACTTCTACCATCTTTCAGACCACATCCTGGGAGATTAATCGTAGGCCAGACTCTAACCCAAAAACTGTTAAAGTAATTATGTGTGCTCCCACAGGAAAAGCTGCATTTGCCACAATTCACTCAATGTTTCCATTACCTCTAAATCAATCCAATCATGCTTTTAAGCAATTGGGTCCAGATTTGTTAAATACCTGGCGTTCAAGATTTATTGATCTTAAAACTCTTATAATTGAAGAAAGTTCGGTGGAAAAATATTTTCATATTTGGATATGCAAATTTTTTAAAAGTACGATAGTCTTATTGGTGGCATTTCTGTTATCGTGTTCGGAAATATAAGGCAGCTATGTCCAGTAGGTGATCGATGGTTATTCAAATCCTCATCAGGAGCGCTTAATCCATACAGTGCTATAGTTGGCTGTAGTCTTTGGGATAGTTTCAAGTTTTTCGAACTTACAGAGATTATGCGACAGCGAGATGACCAACCATCGGCCGAAATGTCGACGGAAGACATTCAGTTGCTTACGAACAGATTAGTTGATGGCAGTCAAGCACCAAGAGATTCGATCCACCTTTTTGTATGGCAATAACGAGACAGCTAGGTACAATAGGAAAAGGCTATCATCGATTAAGACTGCAGAACATAGTTCATAGACTTTAGGCTGCATCAGAGACGAACATATTAGCTCAGACATTAAATGTAAATATCTTGAGGCTGTCAAGAATTTTAAAGCTTCTAGTACACAAGGTTTGTGTACTTCATTGATTCTTAAAAGCACGGCTAAGTATATGATGACAGTCAATGTAGATACATCAGATGGCCTTGTTAACGGAGACACTAGTGTTTTAATGCAAATAGATCTCAACTCATCCTTCCAACTCAACTTCATGGAAACCAATTTAGAAAAGTACAATAGTTTTCAATATCACCGAAACGAACAAGGTACTGTTGACCGTAAACAGTTTCCGGTTGTAGCTGCAGAATCTATAACTATTCATAAAAGTCAGGGAGCTACATAAAGCAAAGTTGACGTCCACACTTCCTCCAATATGCAAAGAGAAGCATTGTATGTATGTAGCTGGCAGTTGGGCATTTGACATTATACTTTTTTTCCACGTCTGTCATCTACACCTAGATCACTTCTCACGCCAACACGCTCTTTTAGATCGCCGCCACCCTTAGAGCCGCACGCTGCACGCAAAAAAAAAAACGAGAGTTGACGTGTGAGACGTTTCTTACGCGTCAAAACTTTTATACACGGTACTCAGTCCTTGTCCTTGTTGTGTTTGACACTTTACATTTTGTATACATCTGTCATCTACATAAGTTTTCACGCCAACACGCTCTTTTCGCTCGCCCCCCCCTCCCCTAGAGCCGCACACGGCAGTCACTGCAGAGGCAGAGGCGCGGCAGAGGCAGAGGCCGCACACTGCAGAAGCAGAGAGTGTATGAGAGAATGTGAACAAAACAACAAAAGCTGCTAGACGGGGTGGGTTTGGCCACTGCAAATTAATTTCTTCATTCTGGCTATAATAATGAACCTATCTGATCCCAATTCGGTGATCTGATAGATATGGTCATCATTAAAATTGTGGACACAGCAGATTTTCGCACAAACAGAAATTGATATATCAAATCGGCTATTAATGCCGATCAAGACTAAATATACTATATTGAGTCGGAAATGTTTTCATCTGTGCGATACGCATGTCACAAATCGAGTATACCTCGTTAACTTTTTGAGACAGAGTCTTATTCCAGAAGAAACATATAAAGGTTTTTAGGAAAACCCGAACACTATCAGAAAATGTGATCTAATCTGAATTCGAAATCACAAACATACATACATGTGTACATACATAAATATATACATACATATCTATGCACCTGCATATGTATAAAAGATAGTTAAACAGCTGAAACACAGAAAAAACGCTGCCAAATGTTGAAACAAACAAGCTAAACACCAGTCAACTACAACTTCATCCAACCAGATTGGAGTCATCCATAACAAGCTGATTCAATGAAAATATCCATGGCATTAAGTAATTGTGTTATAACCATTACCACTATATCACCTATAACATTTTCTAAATTCATATGTAATTTACCATTACGATTGCGGTTTCAGCAACAGATGAAATTAAAAACAACTGTATTCAATTATAATTTTAGCATTTAATTTTAAACAAATGGTTTGTATTAATTAAACATTAAAGAAAAAAATAATAGACAAAAAAACTTTATTCAATATTAGCTTTTGATTTTAAGCCAATTTGATGTATTAATAAGCAGTATTCTTAATAGAAAAACTAGAAATGTATTATCTTGATGGTGTGTGTATATGTGAATACTTTCAACCGCGTACAACTTCAATTTCGTGTAGTTCTGAACTGTGGTTTTAGTCGCGGGTATAAGTTGCGCATTTACTTGATTAACTGAGTGACTATGGGGTTCTGAGACTAGCCCTTGAGGCTGGTCATTCCCGCACGCATGACCTCGTCGACGAGCAGGAGGTTGCTGGCAATTATGGAGCACGAGTTGAGGATCTGCTTTTTGACGATGTAGTTGTCGTAGACACCCATATCGACAGGCTTCATGGGCTCACCGGTGGCCAGATCAAGTCCAACTAGGTCTGAGTGCAAGCGATCTTCAACGGTAAGCTTCACGATAGTGTCCTGGGCATCGTATCCACTGTTAACAGCTAGCGATTTGGGTATCACCAGCAGAGCATCGGCAAAGGCTTGTACTGATAGACGCGCCTTACCCTTGATGGTGTCTTTGTACGCTACCAGCTCGTTATAGGCACGCACTTCGAAAGCGCCAGCACCAGGTATGAGAACCTTATCTGCAATTGTATTGTTGATAGCTCTCAGGCCATCTCGGATGGCATCCTTGATCTGGGTAATGGTGTGCCTGTTAGGTCCCTTAATCAAAATGGTGACCGAAAGTGGATTTTTGCAGTCCTCCACAAATGTGTACTTGTTCTCACCGAGGACATGCTCGTAAACGACACCCGCGTAGCCTAAATGCTCCTCTTGAAGATCATCAAAGGAGTTCATGGCGGTACCGCCGCAAGCAAGAGCCAAACGCTCCATATTGCGTCGTTTGGCGCGACGCAGAGCCAGAATTCCCTCCTTAGCAAGGGCATCTAAAGAAATAGGATCTATTCCCTTCTGGTTGATCAACGCGAAAGTCTTGTCTGTGCCATCGCACACCGAACGTTTCAGTTCAATCACCTTTTTCACACGCTGATCTATAAACTCACGCTCAGCGCGGACGAAAGCTTCGCGTTCTTCGGCCGTCTTGTAGAAGAATCCAGAGTTGACCTCAGCTTTCTCGTACTCCAGGGAAACATTGGCAGTGAGAATGTAGACATTTTCCAGCCGCTTGGGCATATCCGGATGGCGAGCGCCGTGGTCCATGACCAGACCACGCACAAGCTGGGTGTCTGTGTCAGTCTTGTGCTGCATTTCCATCAGCTCAACCATGTGCAGATCAACGGGCTTCTTGTCATTAGCTATGGTCAGAACAGCGTCCACACACACCTCGGTGAGCAGGTCGGCCAAGGCTGGATGCACTTTGGTCTTCAGACTGGTGTTTGCGATCTCAACTAAATTCTTCTTGTTAATTTCAACAGGAACTTTTACCTTGTCTAGGACCTCTAGCGCCTTGTCGCGGGCCTTCTCAAATCCTTCGGCCATGATGCGGGGATGCAGACCCTCAGATAAATAAATATCGGCCTGCTTGAGAAGTTCTCCGATCAGCATCACTGTGGTGGTGGTACCATCCCCAGTGGAATCATCTTGGGCCGTGCTGGCCCTGGCAATCATAGAAGCAGTTGGATGCTGGATCTGCATTTCATGCAGTAGGACATTGCCATCCTTGGTTATCTTAATATCCCCGGCTCCAGAGACCAACCTAGAATGTTCGATACATTTGTGTTAGTGCGCATGCTTCAAGCTCGTGAGTCATTTTTTACGGTTGAGCTATCCCGGCTAACAGCAAGGCAAACATTTTGTGAGATAATTTCACTTGCCATGACATAGACCATACAATTTAGTTTCTTTGTTAGTATTATTTGTTCTAACATTCACTGGAATCGCTGAGTTTGGAGCTGAATTCGGTTTTACAGTAACGTCTGCTGGACGATGACGCATGCCGCTATTACAATTCATTTCTAACCTTAAACATCATGAAGCGACGCAGCTGTGTCTGAATACATGCTTTATAATTGCGGGCTATCGCTAACTTCACTTAAACTCTGGTGGGTAGGATAAGTCTTAATAACAAAGCCTTTTTCTTACATTTTTACTGTTCCTTTGGGACCTAAGTTGGTACGCATCACATCCTGCAGACCCTTGGCGGCGCTTATGTTGATGGACAGAGCCTGAGCGGCACGGGCAAACTCAGCCTTCGGATTCAGCAAACTAATCGAAGCCATTATATTTCAGAGTTTAATGGTATTCTATTTAATTTTGGTTCAGAACTTGAAAAATTAATATTAGCAACACGCCTTGTCGAAAATTCGGAGTATGACCACAAGAGCGACCGCGGAATTATCGATCAAATATACCGACAGACCCTCGGAAATATACCAAAATATAACCTTTCATTTTCCAAATATACTGTAAATATACCGTAAAATATTTACGGCCCAATATTGTTTTTTGTTATTTAATCGCCATAGCGAAATTGGTTGACCGCAGACGACGAGTCCGCATTGGCCAGGTACTTCAGTTTATGTGGAATATTAGAAAAAAGTCACTGAAAATTTTGAACTCAAATTGTCCTCGATGTTTGCATTTTCTAGAGCTTTTATACTCTCTGAGATCCATGCGCTCAACAAGACGGACGGACAAACGGACAGACAGATATGGTTATGTCGACCATAGGCAGAACCAGCGAGTAACTGCCACCGACGAGGCCTCCTTATAGTTTCTTCATACCTTATAGTTTCTTTATGCCTTATAGTTTCTTCATGGTTTCTTCATGTTCGAGACTCTCTTCAACTCTCCTCTCTCTCAACGGCACCGTTGATCGCCTTACCCATGAAGAAACTATAAGGAGGTCTCGTCGGAGAAACGAAGCAGAACGTGCGAGTGAAAAGTGCGAGTGAGAGGGCTCTCGCTGCAAGTGCGAGGGCAACGACAGTGGAGTGTGCTGATCATGAAGAAAACATTCGTCCGCAACCAACCTTCCGCGTCGACAAGCAAACGAGCACTGAACCTAGGGCAGAACCAGCGAGTAACTCTGCCACCGACGAGGCCTCCTTATAGTTTCTTCATGGCCTTGCCCATAAAGTAACTATATAAGGAGGTCTCGTCGAAAAAAATTATGGACTAGTGCGAGTGAAAAGTGCGAGTGAAAGGGCTCTCGATGTAAGTGTGAGGGCAACGACAATGGAGTGTGCTGATTAATCATTTGAAGGCAATGTGAAAAAACATAATAATTGTATCATAGTTTAATTTTTAATAGTTTGCTACATAATAGTAGCCTGTGTTCTGAAAAAATAAACATTTAAAAAAAAATTTAAAAAAAAATTTGTCCGCAACCAACCTTCCGCGTCGACAAGCAAACGTGCACTAAGAATTGGGTAACGCAGCGAGTAACTCTGCCACCGACGAGGCCTCCTTATATAGTTGCTTTATGGCCTTGCCCCTTCACCATTCGACCGGCCAACCACCAACAAAATACTTCCAAGTACATCTAGTATTTTGCCATCGATTTCCTTCGATGCAACAATTTTTCGTGCTGCTAGCAACATACCAACGAATACCACACAAATACCATCAGTACCACAAAAATACTATCGATACCACAAAATACTATCGTCTGACTTTCTGGATTATTTCGGCGTTTTTTTGTCGATCTGAGTACTGCCTGGCGTACAGCCGCTAGTCTTATCGGTTCCATACGCTTTAAAGCTACTAGGCTTTAAACGGGAAACTAAATTGAACCGATATATATCGTGTCCCCGTGTTACAAAATATATTCACACCCATAACAGCGAACTAACAGCTACCAAATACTCAGTAAACATATAAGTCAAAAAAGCTGTTCTGTCGTAATCTAACCAATTACAAGCGAAATCAGATTGCACACATAACTGGTCTGGTCTTGCTGGTCTTTATATTGCAGCAAGGCAAATCAGTTCTCCGCTATTAAACGTCCACAGGTAGCCCCACCGAGCTAAAACATATAGTGTAGGTATTTTTATAAGTTTTTATCATCTGTGCACACAATGAGCCACAAGAAAGACCACAGCTCAAGCCCAGAGAGAACAAACGATGACAAGGAGGCTGCTGTTGGCAATCCACACCAACAGCTGGAAACCTATCGAGTCTATGTTGTCACCTGGAATGTAGGCAGTCGCTTTCCGGACAATGTATCACTGCGCCAACTGCTCAGCTTGCATGATACAAGCGATGCTGCGGTCTCGGAAGAACACTTGCCAGATATATATGCCATTGGACTGCAGGAGGTAAACGCCCAGCCGCAGCAACAGGTTTTAAGCTTGTTTAAGGAGGACCCGTGGACGCACAAGGCAAAGGAGCTTCTGCGCAGCTACAACTATGTAGCCGTAAAGTCGGAGCAAATGCAGGGCCTGCTTCTGACCATGTTTGTTCGTCGCCCTCACGTGGAGCACCTGCATGACATCGAGTCGGAGTTCACGCGTACCGGCTTTGGTGGCATTTGGGGTAACAAGGGCGCGGTTAGCGTTCGTTTCACAATGTATGGCTGTGGACTGGCCTTTGTGGTGGCCCACTTGGCTGCGCACGACCATCAACTAGATGAACGGATCGACGACTATAAACAAATACTGGAGAGCCATCATTATCATGTGAAACACTATCGTGAGATCTACGACCACGACTATGTATTTTGGTTTGGTGATCTCAACTTTCGTCTGCATGGCAACGACTCCTCGACAGAGGTCAGGGAGGCGTTGCGAGATGAAAGCCAGCACGAAGCTCTTATAAAGCGAGATCAGCTGTTACATGTTCGAGAACACACACGGCAGGCTTTCCAAGTTATGCACGAACGAACGCCTGCATTTCCACCCACGTTTAAGTTCAAGGAGGGAACCTCCGAGTACGATATGAAGCGTCGTCCCGCCTGGACGGATCGGATCATGTACGCAGTGCAGCCGTCAAATCGTCAACGTGGTATGCAGCTGTCCATTGAACAGTCCTCGTACAAATCCCACCCAGTCTACACCATCAGCGACCACAAGCCGGTTACAAGTGAATTTACAATTAAGCTCTATCCGAATGTTCGAGCTCAAGGTGTGACGTTCTCCACGATTGCGTTGTGGCGCATTGGTGACGAGAACACCGTGGAGTACCGCAAGCAGGTGGAGTTCGAAGAAGGACCCCATGACTGGATAGGCATATACCCAATTGACTATTCTAGTCTGGCGCAATATTCTGCATATGAGTACGTTAACCAGGCCGAGTCGCCCACCTCATCGGACTATAACGACGAGCGAGATTACTTTGATACGCCTGCCCGGCATCGGCATGGCCGCCACCATCACCAGAATCGCCAGCGTCTGCGTCGCCAACAGGAGTCTAACGGAGAGCACGTGCGCATCGATTTTGCCGACGATGTGGAGCTACGGCATGGTGAGCAGTACCTGCTCATCTACTTTCGCAGCACAGGATTGAGGGGTGTCACCAGCTTGTCGGGGATCAGCAACGTGTTTGTGGCTGAAAAACGAAGCGGTTCTCCTTATCGGACCGAGTACAATGTTGACTAGCTAGCCGAATAGCTGGACGTCAGTATAATGTAGACCAACCTGCGTTTGTTTTCCCCAATCAACTGTATCCATTCTTGTGTATAATTGTAATTTTCATTACAAAGACCCCGATATGATATGTGCAATATGTCTAAATGTCCACAGAGGACTTGTACATACTTATATGTTTATATGTACATATATGTGGACATTCTTTTAGTTATACATACATATACATATGTACATATATTTTCATAGAATTATACAAAAGTTGAACAAATAATTTCGCTATTGATATTGCTGTGTCACGGGTTTCAAATAATTGAACCGGTTTGTCTATTTCGAAGCGAATAATTTTAGGTACTGGCAAGCATGTGCTGCTGTGACTCATCCCACTATGTGCTACAAAATAGGCAATGTTATGTGACCCCAGATGACTCCACTTTTAACTCGTACAAAATATAACGGGAAGGGACGTGTGAGACGCTTCTTACGCGTCACAACTTTTATACTCGGCACTCAGGACTACATCTAGATGTAGAAGACATCGCCAACTACTAGATATCGTTCACATTACAGAACACGTAGTAAAAAGCCTACTAAATAAAATGCATCAAAAAAATTGGATCAGTTAATTTTCCAAGTATTTTCCAATATATGAGATATTTAAAACAGCAATAAAATTGGTACTTTTTCCCTGCACATTCTGTGCAATAATGACCGCTAGGTTTCACAGCAGATTTTTCATAAGTGGCGCCATCTATGAAAATTTCTTATACGCAACTTTGGTCATTTTTTTTTCTAATACAGAGCGTTAAAAACCGAGTCTTGGGTTTAACTTTTAAAAATTTGCTTTTGGCCACTGTTTCCGCAACTCCTCGCAACCAGTTCGGAATCAAAATCTCGAAATAAAAAGCCAAGTGCTGCTGTTCGACCGAGTCGGAATTCAAATCAATTTAATCTCTTCTTCTTTTCAATTTCGATATTCACCTATTAAATGCATGTTCTTCCCCTTTCTCTATCGTATTCACACATTACATGTATGTTCTACAATGTATATATATATGTATATGTATATATGTACATGTATGGCTACAATTTGGTGATCTGATAGATATGGCCATTCCCTACGGAATGGCGTTTTTAGTTTTCTTTTATCTTCAAAATTGTAGGTTTGGTAGGTTTTCGCCCTTTTGCGGGGGCGGAAGGAGGCGTGGCTCATTTTAGAAAAACACTGGTTTTAGTGTGAGCATATAGCAGTCTGGATGCAAAATTTGGTGGCTCTAGCTCTTATAGTCTCTGAGAACTAGCCGACAAACAAGACGGACAGACAGACATGGCTCTATCGACTCGGCTATTGATGCTGATCAAGAATATATATACTTTATGGGGTCGGAAACTCTTCCTTCTGTGCGTTACATACAACCGTTATTCGCACAAATACAGTATACCCTATTTACTCTTCGAGTACCGGGTATAAAAAGAACAATTAATAAATACTAAGTGCCGTAAACATATCCTGTTTTAGCTTAAGAAGTAACTGGCATACGAAATTTGTGTGTTCTTAATGAGTAAAGAAATATTTCCAGTGGAGCTTATATATTTGCGATGGATTGGTGAATACATGCATATGTATGTACATATGTATGCATACAAATTTATGTATATTTATCATAACATTCCCTAACTGCTTTTTTAAATATATAGTTATTTACAGCAACATTTATTGCAATATAAATTTACATATTTGAAATTATTATATAAAAAGGCAAAGGCTTTCAAACTAAAACATTTCTGCAA